AAGACCCAAACTCAAGAAAATCATCGATACAAACAAGATTCGGTCAAAAAATATGCAATAAGCTCATAAAAATTATCAATATGAACAAAATTTTTTGGGCTAAAAATATATGTAACAAATACTCAAAAATAAACAAAAATAAACAGTTTTTTAAGTTTTATGGAGCAGACAGTTTTTTATGGAGCAGACACCTTAAAAAACTGTTAAAACTCAAAAATAAACAGTTTTTTAAGGTTTATGGAGCAGTAATAACTTTTAAAAAAATAAATGAAATAAAACAAAATGAAAAAAAAATTCTAAAATTTGAAATTTTTTATGAAAACCATCCCCCCAGACGCCATATAAAGTACAAAAGAATAGATTTCGCTACTTGTATCATATCACTTATGGCAAACAAGACTGCTCGTATCAGGGCAAAGCCTTGAATGTTCCGACTGTTTTTTAAGGTTTATGGAGCAGTAATAACACTAAAAAATTTAATGAAGTAAAAAAATGAAAATATTTTTTTTTGTAACAATTGAAATTTTTACGAAAGTCATCTCCCCACACGCCATATCAAGTACGCAGGATAAATTTGGCTCCCTGTAACAAATAAATTATTGCAAAAAAGCTTCTTTTAAACCAATTTGGATCGATTTCTAAAACGGATTATCTCTCCGCTCCGCTCACGCGTTAATAGCGCGAAATGTATCGCGCGTTATTTGTCCCAAATCGGCCAAAATGGCAGTCTTTAAACCCCCGTAACTTTACGAAAAATGATCACAGGTGGAATACCTTTTCAAATTTGAGCTCAGGACAACAATACTTTTCGAATCATATGACAAAAGTTCCGTCAAAAATGGCTAGTTAAAAAGTCGAAATTTGTCTGAAGAAAAAAAAACCACCCGAGCACAAATGTTCCGTTACTTTTGTATCGAAAGTCGGAACAATAAGCTTTGAAAAATAAGTGCCCACTACAGAAATTGAACCACAATTCTCTAGCATCGAACTTGACAATCACACAAAAGATGAGGCTCAAAGAAACAAAACACTAGACTTTATTAAAGCGACGTAGAACACATGTTATTCAACGGCCAACACAAGGCTGCAAAAATGTACAAGTCCACATAATTGCTTGTGTAAAAGTATTCAAAGCATTCTAAACCAAGGATTTTTGCAAAGTTCTGAGCACAGCATCCCCAGTTTCTACTAAAACCAATTTCTTAGAAAATATTTGATCTTTCCGAAGATCAAATAATGATTTTATTGATATTTATTGATTTTTTTTGTTCAAAACTGTAACTAAAAAATTGCCCTTAAAAGCGTTATTTTGTTAATTACAGTCACGGGACATATACCGTTCAGATTCAAGCAATAAAAAAACATTTTTTATGTTTCTGTGGTTTTATTTTTAGCTACTTATGATTCACTGCTAAAATCTTGACATTGATGATTGAAAGTGTTCATCAGAATGTGACCGCATAAAAACCGCAAAATTGTATCAAGGCGTTGTTTCGCCATTTGAATAGAGGGCGTCATATAAGTGTCAAAAAATTGAAACTTCGCAGTTAATCTATTCGTTGGAAAATTAAGTGTGTCAGCAAGGTTTCGCTTCACAAAAAGTACTCAGCTACGTTTTTGGCGCCTTATTAAACAAATTAAAATAATTTCAATCAATTCCTGTGTTTGAGATTAGCAAAAAATTAACTATGATCACTTTGTTTTGATCGCTGCTGCTGAATTGCTCACACATCATTATAACCACTATCGCACAGAACAAAATTGATCCAAAAAACGGATACCCTACTTGAGTAAAAACACTAAGGTAAATTTCAAACAGCATGAAGCAATACTGAAAACTCGCATGTTGATTTTTTTTTCGACAAGAACACTTTACAAGTAGACTAAAAAAAATTGTAAGAATGGTGATTAATGGATTCAAGTTTGATTGGTGAGTAAATTTTGCTTGGTCGAAGCCTTAAGCGCCTCTTGCACAGCAATCGGCTATTTTTGATCATCTTAAGCAGTTTAACAGTTGAGAAAGTGTCTGGTTTCCCGTCGAAACATGTATTTAGGCAACGTGTTTAACCAAGTAAATTTTAGTTGCAGTCTCACTTTTGAAGAGCGCTCGGAGATAAAGTTACACTCTGAGAGTATTCAGTCGAAACAGCTCAAAAATTTCTTGACATCAGAAATAAAAACTGCTCAATGATCACGATGAACTAAATTGAAGTAAATATCTCTCAAAAGAGTCACGCATAAATAATTTTTAACCGGCCTTGAAAATAAAAAAAAACTTATTTTCTCTTAACCAGTGTATAAAGGAATTTTCTTAAAAACTAATAGCTATAATTTAATATAGAATTTGATAACTATACACAGAAGCTAATTTTTGCAAAAAGAAGCTTTAAAATTGCAATTAGAAGCTCTTACAGCAAATGAGAAAATCAAAAAAAATGCAAAAAAAAATGCCTAGTAATAAATCAAAATTGAAAAAAAACGCCAAAAAATTAGTTTTTCTTCAATTATTTTTCAAATATTCATTAGTTTGGAAAACTAATTGTTTCTCATAGTTCGAAAAAAATGCTTGCGAGCATTTGAAATTAACATAGAGGCGAAGCTGCGCTTCACAAACAAGCGAGAAAAACGCAAAAGCAAAAAAATACACACAAAGATAAAAATTCGAAAATCAATTTTGAGATTAGCAGTTTCATGTTTTCACATCTGTTCCACAACCGATTGCAATTTTACTAACACTAGCCACCAATAAAGCAGTAAAAATTTGAGCAAAACAATATACTATTTCAAAGTTCTGGTATTGAATCTTCGACCTGATCATTAGTATTGTCACCACATCCACGCATCTGCGTCACGGTTACTAGGAAGTACACTAGTGATCCAGCTAAAGCTGGATGTACTTGTTTTAATATTTTTAATTGTATATTGAAATAATCTCTTTCTTCAATTGATTTTTTTCCTCATATTTGGATGGGTAGTTTTGCAAAAGTTTCCAAAAAATGGTCAAATAATCAAAAAAGTTGTCTTATACTAAAATCATAATTTTTTCTCTACTTAACCATGGGAAACACCCCTGATGCAGTGAAAAATCCCAAGCTTTGATTTTTAGATTGAACACTTTATATCAGATTAAGCTAGCATTTTCCGAGAATAGTGATGATTTTTTTTTTAATGGTAAAAATGTCGAAAATGAGTTTTTCCGAAGGCACTATCGGCTTTTTTGCAAAAAAAAAAATGATGAAACAGATTACGCAAGGAAAAAAAAGAACCGTTTTAGATTGAATTAACTATTAACCTCAGAATCAGCAGGCTAGTTTTTGAAGAAAAAAAAAGTTTTCTTTCTTTTAGTGAAACATCCGTTTTTCTTTTTTTTTGGTGAATAATTTAATCTCTGTTTTGAAACTGGGACAGCAGCTTTTGAGAAAAATCAATAATTTTGCGAAACATGCAAAAAATTTTCAAAGTGTCGGAGAAAAAAAACGATCAACAAATCCCATACATTTTCATAATAGTTGTTTTTCAATCAGGAACTAACACTAGCTTAAAATAAAGCAGTTACATATGTAATTAAAATTTCTACGCTCAAATAAGCTCATATATGATCAGATTGAAATATACCAAAAAAGCCACCAAATGAGAATTTTTCTTTGTGACATTGATTTGAAAAAAAAATCTTTTTGATAACACACTCTGCTTTGGCTTGTGTAATGATCAGACGCGTAGCAAGAATTTTCGTTAACTTAGTGTTCTATTTGGACTTTTGAAGAGCGAATTCAATTTTTTCAAATTGCTTAAATTGATTTTCATCATAGTTCCGGATTTTACTGGCTTGCCATGCAAAATACGATTCCGTTGGTGACAAATCTCGAAGTAGCCAAATTTGACATTAATTTAGCATAACATAGAACTTGAGCAAAATGAGAAACTTGAGGCGTTTTCAGTGGTTACAGAGGTCAGTTTTTAGATTTGGTGGCCCTTGCCCTTACTATAAAATACGCGCTGATAGATGAAAAAACTTCCTAAATATATTTTAAACAGGACTGCTCGTATCAGGGCAAAGCCCTGAGTGTTCCGATTGCCTTTTAAGGTCTATGAAGCAGTAATAACATGCAAAATTCAAATTTAATAAGATAAAATTAGTTTTTTTTCTAAAAAACTGAGATTTTTTGTGAAAACATCACCCCACCCACCATATTAAGTACAAAGTGATAGATTTTGCTCCTATTCTCAAATCAATTTTGGCATATATTCTTCCTTGAACCAATTTAGAACGATTTCTAAGACGGAATAAATCTTGCTTACGCGTTAATAGCGCGAAATATATCGCGCGTAAATTATCCCAAATTGGCCAAAATGACAATCTTTAAATCCCCATAACTTTACGAAAAGAAACCTTGAAATATTTTTTTTCCAATTTAAGCTCAGGGCAACAATAGCTTTCGAATGATATTTTTAAATTCCGTCAAAAATGGCTAGTTAAAAAGTCAAAATTTTTCTGAAGGAAAACACCCACCCCAAGCACAAATACTCAGTTATTTTCCTCTCGAAAGTCAGAACAAAACACTGCCTTAATATATTTAACACCAGTGAATTCGAAAAAGAAAAATTACCAACAAACATGCCTCAACTTATAGAGTGGACGCATTCATTCTAACTTGTATACAGAAAGTTCATTTAAAACACCCTACCCTGCCCATGTTTGAACCCTTTTATTAGGTTGCGGGTCTCCTTCCGTACCTATATGCTACAGGTCCATGATACCTCGAAGCTAAAGCGCTGTTTGTAATATAAAACTCTGCGTTAATATCCTTGGAATTGGCTGTAATTAATAGCTGGTTATTGATCTTATGCACATACTGCAAAAAAGAACTTTCATAATGAACACTAATATTTGCAAAACTAATATTTGCGTTTTTTGGAAAAAAACTAGTTCTACAATCACACAAGCTTTGCTCGAGTAGAAACATTCTTTCTGAGAATTTAAATTTGGATAAGGACAAATAAGTCAGCCAGAAAACAAATTCATCTTCCATTCAAAAAACAAGTAACATTTACAGGAAGAAAGGATCGGTGTTAAGTAGTTTTTGCATTAAAACAGTATATTTTTTTTTCAAATTTAGGGTTACAATTTTGGAACCTGGATTTTATCAATTCGAGATTGGATAGTTTGAATGATTGATTTACAACTTTTGCGTTTTTCAAACTCCTTCACATCTTTTGCAGGTAACTCGTACTGCCAGCGAATCAGATTAAAAGATGCGTTTCTTGCTGCATTTGGGTGAAAGCCGCCCTCAACTTTTTTGTCGGCGTGGGTCAAATCGAAAAACTTTTGTATTGTTGTTTCATCAGGCTCAATGTTGGCAAATTTGTGCAAGTTTCGAACCACGTTCTCTTGATCTAGAATCAACTCTTCATATGCGATGCGCATAATTCGTTTTGGTCCCAATTCTTGGTAAAGATTTTCACCTGAAAGAAAAACAAGGTTTGCTGAACATGTTAGCATACGTAGTACATGTTAGCATACGTAGTACGATAACAAGTTTCAGTTCATAAAGAAAAACTATAACCTTCAGCAGGGGTGGATCTAGGTTTTTCTCGAGGGTGGGGGGGGGGATTCGGCTTTTCAACAAATTTTCGAAAATTTTCTTTCTTAGGTAGACCAAATTGATTTTTCGAGCTCTCCCAAAGCATTAAAAAGACCCTGTTTTGGCCAAATTTTCTGCGCCGCACGCAACTTTTTGAGAAAAAAAAGGTCAAAAAAGACATTTTGGGCACTATTTGGAAAATTTTGACAAAACAATCGCGTTTTTGCTCGCGCTTCCCCTCAAAGTTAATATAAATCGGCGTCAAAGTCGTATTTAGAAAAACTTTAAGGTCGATCGGCCAAAAATGGACTTCTTAAAAAGTACCAAAAGGGGAACTCTTTAGGACGGTAGTGGGTCGAATCCCTGAGGGGCCGGGGATGGAAGGACCACGGCTCTTTTTCCTTTTACCCGACTTCACACGAGCGTCATTTTATGGTCTAACGAGTGGTTTTACAAGGAAGATTATGAAGACCAAATATGTTTGTCATTGCCTAATTAGTCTGCATGTCATTTTTCATGATAATCGGACAATGTGAACATTAATTTAAATTATAAAAATTTGCAGGTGGGGGAAGAGCCAGGACCACTCCCAGAATTCCGGCCCTGATGCAAACCTCAACTCTCGAAATAATTCACTTTTTCAAATTATTTTAGGTAACCGTTTTTGCTTATGGATACATAGATGACAGACCAAATTTCTCTCAATTCCATTCAAATAATAAAAAGCATCATTGCATGTGAGCTTAGCTTGACTCACTTTCAACAATGTCTTTCCACAATTTGTCACAGACTTGGTTCGCACCCAGAGCATTCATCTTCTCAGCCGCTCCGTGAGGCATCCCTCTTCTTGACAACTCCACTGCTCGTGGATCCCGAATCAAGTGGATGATCTAAATACCAGACGGGGGATAAGGATTTGTATAGTTATAAGCATATGAGACTGATGCAGGGCTAAAACAGGTTCGAATCCAGCACCGATCTTTTTTATTTGGCTTTACTAAAATGAACGAGTTAATACATCCCCATTAATCTGATCTTCGTATTCCCTTACTATATTGATCTTGTGGCGTGTACTTTGTGATATCGGAAAGGTTGGGCTGAAACGTATTGAACACTTTTTTGCTTTCTATTTTTTGAGCTCTGCTGAAACTCGTGAATGAATATATTTTCGAATATTTTAATCTCATGTTTTTGAAGAAAAAAAATGGAATTCTTGAGAAAGAAGAAAGAAGGTGCGCTTTCCTGCAAAATTTTTATATTGGCACCAAAATTTATCTTGCAATAACTTCTGCTGGCATAAAAAATTGACCATCAAACCCTCTCCTGAGAAAAGAGGAGGCATTTCACCTCTAATCTCCAGAAATGAAAAAAATATATATTTTCCATTGCAATCAAACAAAACTTTCGCTCCTTCTTAATAACCAATTTTGCAAAGTTTTTTATTCAAGTTTTTTTTAATACACATTTTGAAAAGCCATCAAATTTTGTGAAGTTTTATATAAGTTCTTTAAAAAACTTTAAGTGAACTAAGACACGTCACATCTCGGAAACTAAAAACGATAAAGCAGTCGCACTTATAGTACACAACTACAAAGATATATATTTTTTTGAAAACCAGATAAAACGTCACATCTCGAAAACTTCCAAAATTTGAGCAGTCAGATTTGAAGGCAAAATTCGCAATCCTTCACAGTACTCTGACAGCACAACTATAGGGTTGGGTTTTTCAATTTTGTGAATTATTTTTTAATTTGAGTTTTCTGAAAATTTCTGAAAAAATCACAAAAAAATTTGTCGTACCTCGTACACTGAAAAGATCTTAATTAGAAGCCAAATTCGCTATCCCTGAGATTACTTTGACAGCCGCCAACTACAGGTTAGGAATTTCAAGTTTTGACAAGAAAAAAGATTTAAATTTTCGGAAAACTTTTTGAAAAAATCACGAAAAACGTCATATCTGGAAAACTAAAAAGATTTGAGCACTCCTATTTGGAGGCAAGATTCGCAAACCCTTAGAACCTGAGAATACTCTGACAGTCCCCACTAGAGACTTGGGAACTTTTTAAGAAAAAAATAAATTTCTGAATATTTATCGAAAATCCACAAAAACAACAAAGTTTTGAACAGTCATATTTGGAGGCAAAAATTGAAATTCCTGAGAGTACCCTGACAAAGCCTCACCATAGAGATAGGAAATTAAAAATTTGTGAAATTTTTTATACCTAAATTCTGAAAAATTTCGATAAAATCCTAAAAAACGTCATATCTCGAAAACTACAAGGATCTGAGCAATCATTTTCAGAGGCAAGATTTGCAACCCCTGAAAGTACCCTCACAGATTCCAACAACAGGATTGAGATCTTTTGAAATCTAAGTTTTTTCGAAAATTTTGAAAATAAAACATAAAAAACGTCATATCTCGAAAACTATAAAGATTTGAGAAGTGAGATTTGGAGCCAAGATTCGCAACCCCTTCGAGTACTCTGACAGCACCCAACTACAGGTTGAGAATTTCAAAAACAGAGAAATTTCAAATCTCGTAAACTAAAAGGATTTGATATTCATATATTGAGGCCAGAATCGCAAAAGCTGGGAAAACCCTGACAGCACACCACTATCGTGTTGCTGCTGTCAGGGTTTCCCCCCTCCACTTAACAATCCCCCTCCACTTATTATATCTACTAAAGAGTCTCCACCCCTGTAACTAAAAAGAGTAAATTCGCACTTGAGCTTTGTATGTAAATTCGAACTTTGCTGCATTCTGATTGGTCGAAAGTTCGCTGCAATTAATCTTTTTAACGATCTCCTCCCCTTTCTTGAAAGGGGGATTGTTAAGTAGATTCCGTAACTCTGCTTTATGAACTTTCGACGTTATGTTTATTTCAGTTTTAATTTCGGTTGATGTCTAGACAACTGCTCTTTTTAATTAATTTTGTCTGTCCGAACTTTTTGCAACTCTCTATATAATTTAACTTTCCGCCATTATAAGCTGTTCAATTTCACCGATATTGCATTAGAAATACATCTACCACTGACCTTGACATGTTCGTTGAGTCTGACGAAGTCCGAGTAGTCGACCAAGTTCATTCGGATACTCTTTATCACTGGCAGAGTGCTGGAGTTGAAGCATTTTTGTGTCAGTTGCGTGCTATTCACGAAGGCGTCAGATTTGACCCCATTCCCACTTTCGGTCACTGGAAGTGAACTCTGAAAGGAAACAAGAATAGCAAAAGATTAGCCGGTGTTCCAATTACCAGTTACTGCACCAAAAAAAAAACGTTTTACCTGCAATTTTCTGTTTTTTATCAAGAACAAAAAGGATTTGAGAATTTTCTGGTTTGTTAAAACTAGTTTTGACAGAGGTACTTTATTCGGTTGAATATAAAATTCAGAGAAACCCAGTTGAAAGAAGACTAAAATTTTGACGTAAGTATCTCACAAAACTTCGTCAGATCACAAAAAGTCTCTCATAGTTTCTCAGATCATTTTTTCAAGATATTCAACTGATCTGATTTGACTAACATTTCGCCCACGCAGGAATATTCTAATTAGTTTGTTTTCAAGCAAAATCTGCAGCCGGTCTAGCAAAAAAACTGGAAAGAAGCTCTAAAAATTACAAAACCTAACAGGAGAAAATGCGGTAGCAACAGAGAAACAACCGTACAATTTCCCCTTAAATCAATTTAGGGAGGCATGGATTTTTCATGAACTAACTTAGAGAATAGGTTCATTCAAAACTAAGAGTTTTACTTAATAAAATTGAATTGAAACATTAATCTAAGCAATTACCAGCATACAAATGCAATGCCGCATACAAAAATGTAGAAACCTACTTGGCCGCTTGTGGGAGGATGTTAACTTGGTTCAAACTTAGGAATTTTCAGCCAATCAGAATCCAGCATTTTACAGCAGCTCATAGCAAATTTAAACCAAAGTAAATACTGGGGTGGAGCATGTTCACTTGATTCATTTTATTAGCGCGATTTCATGAAACGCATATTTCGGCTCTTTTCCGCTCCCCCACCACCTTTGAGTTTCACCTTCAAAAAACTAGTTTTATTATCATAATGTTATGAAACTTTGCATGATGATCAAACTAACTAGTGCAAACATATTTTTCTTCATACTTTACATCGTAACATCACGCGTTCAGCCATAATAACACGTAGGACTACTGAAAAAATGGGAAATTTGAAATGCTGTGGGGGGAGGTGGAAAAGAGCCCATATTTTACACAGAATCAATTTTCAGAGGGAGTGCATTCTACGGCAGGTCAATTAAGGGGGGATTGTACGGTTGATCCACAACACAACTTGCGACAGCGGTGATTCAAACCTACTGCTTATAACGTAGCCTCCAATTCGAAGATTCTGCCACTTGACAACTCACCCATGATAACAACTACTTTCAAAAAATGCTTTGATAGCAAAAAACCAGAGTAAATACCGGGCAATAAAGTGGATAAAACAAGTGTTAAACAGAGGCGAAGCTTCACTTCGTAAACAAAAGCGAGAAAACAAAAGCTAGAAAACAAAAACCCGAAAAAAATATCAAAACAGGCAAAATAGCCAGGAAAGAAAAAGCAAAAATGCTTTAAAAAGCAAAAACTTGCCATCAGTCGGAATCTAAACAATGATCTGGAGATATCGAGTCTAACGACCTCACATCTCCTAAATACGTAAGCATCAGACATCAATAAAGCGTATTGAACACATGCAATTTACAATTGCCACTGCAGCAAAAGTCAACACAAAAATGGACTCTATTTTTTTCCGAATTGAATAGAAGGTGTATTCGTAAAATAATAATACGCTCGCTAGCTCGTATAGGTTGTTAAAGCACCCAAACGAAATTGAGCAGTACACAGATACTAACAATTGAACACGAAAATATGCATCCTAGGATGCAAAAAATGAACTGATATTATACACAAAGGCGAAGCATCGCTTCGCAAATACTAGCTAGAACACTACAAAAAGCAACTCTATAAAATGCCATAAAAAAGAAATAAGCCTTGAATTAGCAAAAATTCGGCTATGTCAAGGATTCGATCTGCGACCTACAGCAATCAAGAGATTTAGTCTCATCCACTAAGCACTCAGCCACGCACGGTTAACCATCGACAAACATTACTCACGAATACAGCAGCTACATATGCTAATAAATTGCCAACGCACTTCAGCAAAAGTGGCACCAAATACAAATAGACACAATTTTTTAAGTATTAATTTGAAATATAACAAACTAAAAGCATCCACACTAACTTTGCATGTAAAAAAATCGTAAAGCATTAAGCTATAACATGTATAAGTTATGCATTTTAAAAATTGCGAGGTTATTGGGTTAGAAAACTTCTGAAATCGAGTTTTTATTATCATGTTGTTTGAAACAAATAACTTTTTTGGTTCGCATGATGAATTTAAAATGCATCAACTGCGTTAACTTATTACTATTCGAATGTCAAAGCACATGCTATCAAAAAGCTGTAAAGGTGCCCCTAAAGGGGCACCCATATTTTTGACTTTGGTTAGAAAAAAATGTTCCTAATAATACACTAAGCTGACGCTAGATTAAGCAAAAACGTTACTTCAGTAAATTTACTCGGTTACTGTGCAAGTAGAATAAGAGCAACACTGGAAACTTACAACCGATGAAAATACCTATGAATAAACTTTGAAAGATAAACTGCGATTAATAAACTTTGAAAAAAAAACGGTTTAAAAAACCGAACTTATCCGTTGTAGACTGAATTGGTGAGAAAAGCATCAGCAAACATGGTCAAAAAATTCGGCGCTTTTCGCAACAAGTTTATCGTTTTCACTGCATGACACTCAATAAAGTAATATGCTTTGAAACAATATATTTTTTTGCAGTTTGACTTCGAAAGAGCATGCGGTGTTCAACTTCCTTCTCTAAGACTGAAGTGGAATGTTCCGTTAAATTTCAAAACAGGATCAAAAAGCACCAATCAGGTGAATCAAATAAGATAAGACCTATCACGAATAAGTCACAAAAATTTCCTGGCACTTCTAGACTTAAATTTTGTTACCGGCAAAAAAGAGCTCTGAAAGCAGAAGAGAAAAATAAGAAAATAGAAAAGTATGCCTCCTAGGAAAACCAATTTACAAATAAAAAAACTCTGAGACACAGAATTCGAACTCGGACTGTCCGATTAAGAGTAATTTTCTCTAACCAATTAACAATGGCGTTTCCACTATTTTATTTTCACACGCAAACTTTGTTCTTAGATCTCAGGCACCAAATAAAGCGATTTAATACAGCAAATATAGCAAGATCATCCTGTATGGCAAGATCAATCTTGAAGAAAACACAAAAATGTGCGACTTTGGTTGATAAAAAGGGTCCGATTTGCAATACTACGCTCGCAAGCTTGCATGTCTACTAAAATAGCTAAAACATGGAGGTTTTACTGGCAAGAGGGAATGAGATACCTTCTCCAGCGAGAACTTCGGCTTCTTCCTGGCAATTCTTGGATCATTCGTTGTCGTCAGGACATCATTGAAATTACAGACTGAAAAATTGTATATCCACTTCATTCTACGATGTGTGATGTCAGCAGCAGAAACACCTAACACAAAAACTTTTTTATTTTGGAAGTCAAAGTTATTATTTATTTTCATCAAAACAATATTTATTTTGACGATCTGTAAGACTAAGGTGTAAATCGGCGCTGCAGGTGTTTTTAAAGTTTGACAAATATTTTTCAGGTTGGCTAATAGAAATTGGTGTGATACAATTGAAGTTGACCAAAAAGAAACCTAATCAGTAAAATTTGACATTGAAATGTTCTTGAGGAAAACAAAAATATAAAAATCTTTCCGAGAGAAACGGTTTTGGGATTTTTTTTGCAATTCCTCATCCATTCATCACTTAACAGCCAATGTCCACATATGTTATGGGCTAGTTCAACTTCAACGGCTAAACGTGTATATATTGTTCTTAGTAAGGAATACTCCTTTTAGAATAGAGGCTGAATTTATTAATAAGATCCGTGTAACAAAAAATCGAGAAGCTGCAATAGAAAACATTCAGCAAGAGTATCGAGAAACTCATCGTTTCAGATACTGTGAATCATGCCTTTGAACTCCAGTTCCTCCACCCTGAAGGGTTCGAAGAGGTAGATTGTGTTTGGATGGCGTTTGAATATCTCTCCCAGAAGAGTAGACCCACTGCGCATGTAGGTCAGGATGATGACCCTAAAAGAATTAGTGGACTATGTTGACAACTTCCTCCCTAACATGACCAAGTGAATGGTCACCTCCCTCAAATTAAAGGGAAACATGCAAACTGATGATTGGCTAAAAATTAAATTTTAACCAGGTGAATGCGCTCCCTAAATTCAGGCAAGGATCTAGGATTTTCTCGAGGGGTAGTTGCGAGCTTTCAAAATTAATTAAAATTTGTCGACTTTCATTCAGGTAGATCAACTTCGTTTTCCGGGCTCTCCCAAAACAATGCAAAAACCCTTTGAGCGATCACGTGGTCGAATCCCCTACATCCGCCACTGCCGAAATTGGTTTAGGGAGATTGTTCATTTGGTCCAATGATTTGTTTTAATAAAAAAACTTTTGATTTTGACAAATTTTTGAAATTTATAGATCTTCCCTACAAGTAAGCTTTTATAAAATTTGCGTTTTTCTATGGAATTTTGATTGAAAAAGAGGTACTAAATATTTTATAAATAGTCGGAAAGACCACCTATGATAACTTTTTGAAACTTAAGTTAATTTTGGTTTAAATTTTGATCAAATATCGCAATGCTGAGTTAGCTTATCCATACTTGGCTGAAGCATATGAAAAAACTGCCAGCAAATTTTCCTCCGCACTTACATTGGACGATGTATCTTCGGCACGGTACCCTCGATATCCACATTTTGGACATCTTTCGGGTAATCATCGTAAAGCGAACTGGAGTAAAGCGACCAGAGAAACAGTGAAATCGCAATGGTAACATAAATGAAAAACTTTACTTTATGCATCCTGTAGCCAGATTCAGTAGCACACTGAACAAAACTAGCAAGTGAAACTTTTGAGTTCTCCATGTTACAAAAATTACAGGAGGTCCCTATAACTCAACTAATACATTTAGTTTTCCTTCAACTTCGTAATGAAATAAAAAAATGATTTTGCGAGGACAACATGGATGAATGAATAATAAAAGCCGGATAAAACATCATAAAAGAATCGATGTGTGACAAGCATACTAGATACCACTTAATATTAACCAAAATACGAAAACAATATTAAATGTCATAAGCAAAAAAAAAACAATGTCAGTTTACATAATCTAGAATGTTCTACATCGTAATTTTTCGCTTTGCATATTTCATATTTCATATTTTGCATATTTCGCTTTGCTAGCTTCATACTTAAACAACTAAAATAGACTGGCTCTACGCATTTATACGAAAAACTGTTAAGGAAGCAAGGATTGACAAGTTGACCTTCGGAATGAGATCAAGTGGTGAACATCTTATTGAGGATGGCTTGTTTCCTACGTAAAACAAACATCTAAAAGAGCAAATCCATCTTTTCAAAGCTGACGCTATCCGCAATGCGTATTAAACACATTAAAACCTTCAGTTTCTAATTTCAGATCAGATAAACGAAAAGTTAAATCATTCATAATAAAAACATGTTAACTAGGGATTCTCATTTTCTAACAACGCAGCTGAGCTTCACATACGCCAGCGAACAAAACTCTTAACACTTGGTAGTCAGTAACCCGGTGCTGTAAAAAGCACTGAATACTCCGATCCGTATTTCGAAATAGCAATCATTGTTTTTTTTAAAAGTATTAAGACCCTAACGGCTAGATACAAGCTTCTCAGAGATATTAAGCCGAACAAAATACATGCTTTAACAAAAAATAAGCTCTTTTGGTCTATCAAATTTTCTATTTTGTCCCATATGTGATACTGACATTTTGAAGTCGAAAATGGAAGAAAAAAAATTAGCGACAGAAACCGCACGAAAAAACTTCGAAAGAAAAGTCTATAAATTAATGAGATGAAAAACAGCTCATCGAAATTAATTCAGAGCCATTTGATTTTTATAAATTTATGGGCGGAATTGAAACCGTATTCAGTAGAACATACTGCCAGATAATTATAATGAAAAACGAAAAAAAAATGCTAAAATCGACACATCAAACAGAACATCAACAATAAATAATTACAAATATCTATCGTTTCGCATAGAATATCCCCAATGACATTAAAATTAGTTTATATTAGGTAACTAAAAAACGGAAAAAAATGAGCAACCAGATTTTTGGGGACCGTTACATTAACCTTAAGTTAGAAATTGCATAAAAATTTTAAATTTTTGAAAAGATGTTCAATTACATATTAGCCAGTCAGATTTCATGATACTAATACTATCCGCAATATCCCGGTTATCGATCTCATTACTTTATATCAGAAAGCACAAAAGAGAGCATTGACTTAGCTTTTACTCAGTTTTTTTGTTTCAAAAATTAGTTAAAATGAATAAATAATCATGCATCGGCCACTAAATGGCCATGCCGAAAAGCTAACCCAGTTTTTTCAGAACCACGATATCTATTGTTCTTTCGGAATAGAAAATTTTGTTACAAAAAGCACGCTATAACACGTACAAAAACTAGCAAAAATTTATGCTAGTTTATCTATATGCAATTTATACAGCCAGCCCCAGATTTTCAGGCAAAATTAGTGAACCGACTTTTACAAAATTTTAGTAAATAGTTTTCTCATAGGAATCATTTTTAAAAACTGTCCGTTCACTTTTAAGCAAGCACAAAATTTCCCGATCAGCTTCCAGTGAGCAACTGAAGATATTAACAGGGATCCCACGGCATTCAGATTTCAAAACTCCCTGACTTTTCCCTGTTCTCCATTACTTTAAAATGTGAAAACCCGTAAATTTAATAGCTTCGGATTCGTTTTTTTGAGCAGGATTGAACCTGCGAACTGTTCGAGAAAACGAAGTACAAGAAAACAAAGTACAAACAAGAGCCGAAATCATTTAGGCCATTTAAAAATCCAAGTCAAAAACCCAATAGGAAATGGACAATACACCAGTCAGGTATAGTAATTTTAAAAAGCTACAGGAGTTAATCAACGACACTTGAGACTACAAGGAAAACTGATGAGAGCTCAAAAAACTGAGGTGGCAGCTAAGCTGACAAAACATGAGCCGACAAACTATAATCCGACTAATCAAATTTTCCCAATAAAAAAATTCAATTTCAGACACTGAAAAAAACAAGGTCCGGCCGGGACTCGAACCCCTGACAACATTGAGTTTCAAAGGGAAATGCATTACCTTCAGACCAAGCGCAATGGCGCCTAGAAGTTGTTAAATTGTGATGATAAACCTTAAGGTTTCATACCATTCATTCCAATTACGAATGAGTTAAAAAAGTTGTTTACAAGAAAAAAATAGATCTCGATTACAAGACACTCACTATTGCAAATGTGAAATTACACGTTCCATCAAAGAAAAAAAACACTTCCAATTACAATAAAATTATGATACAACACAAGAAAGGTAAAAAAATTGTGGCAACTAAGCCGACAAACCATAAGCAGACAAACCATATGCCGATCATTTGTTGATAATAAATTATTTAGGTTTAGAAAAAGAACAGTCACTGACCGGATTCGAGTGTATTCCCTTAGCCAATATTGTAGAAAAGGAGATCGTAGCCGATTTGGTACGATATTGTAAAGAAGGAAATCGGTTTGTTTTTGAAAAGCTACGCTGAAAATAAAATACTTGAAATAAGTCGAAAAAACACCCAACACCATCTTAATAAATTTCTAACCTTTGTCGCACATAAGGTTCATAAACAGCTTTAACAATCATTGAGAATCAATGACCGGGTGGCAGCTAAGTTGACCAAATTTAGGTCGAACATCATTAAGACGAAAGCGAAAATGTAGTCAAAAAAATTTGGAGCTATTAAATTTTAAAACTCAACTTTTACAGCCCTCCTGAAACGCACAAAAGCATTTAAAATCCCCTTGAATCTGCGCAATATAGGTTGATTAAGCTGATATAACTTGAACTGAACCCAATTAACCAAAAAAAATTTAAAAACAGAGTTGGTGAATTTACTAACTAAAGAACAACTTTCAGCCATGAAAAAAGTTTGACAGAAAAACCCAAGCAATAGAAAAAATTGCTTGAAAATCGTACATATTATAAAATGCATTTGAAAAAAAACCGGGAATTGAGCCGTCAGGAATTAGAACGAAGATCGCAAATCCGAAAAAATAACACATTTTCAATAAAAGTATTTGAAAAATAAATTACTACCTAAAATGATCTAAAGGGTAATTTTATTTGAATTTATAAATGGTAAAAAAAACCTGATCTTTCCAGGTTTTCCCTGACCATTTTCAAATTACCTGACTTTCCCAGGTTTTCCCTGATTCCCCTTAACCGTTGGACCACAGTATACGCTGCAAATGCTCCTGTTTTTGAGCGCACAAAAAGCTGTGATATCCTTCCCAATTGCAAGGCTAAAAATAAGCCACACTCAATTTTAAACAATCGTAAGAAAAAGTTTCAGCGGTTATTTCCTCATAGCAAAAACGTACACTTGCTAAGGTTAAAATAAAAATCAATAGCGTATTCTTCGCACCGTTAGCCATTATTGCAGAACGTAATTTCCTTTCAATACAGAAAAGATCAAAGTTTTGAAATAATTTTAAAAACAATACTTTTTAACCTATCAATTAAAGAACAGTTTGAAAGCTCATATTATTTTCTGAAGTTCCAATCTTGTGGAATTATTCTCGCGTGAAAAAAGTCTGGTAACCAATTGCAAAAATATCTATCCCAATCTCAAGGCTCGCGAAAACAAGCCACACTCAATTTTTGGCAGATTTAGTGGCAACCGTTCAATTCCCGATTATATCGTTTGGTCTTGCGTTATTGCAGAGCGTAAATTGCCTTCCGTTCAAAAAAAAGGAAGTTTACATCTAAAAAATTGACTTGAAATTAAGCAAAAACTAGATATATTTGCAAAAAAACGAGAAAACGGCAAACGTTGGGCGAAAAAGTGAAACAAGGAAAGAAAAGGCAAAAAAAACTAGAATAATGAACTTCTTGCTAATTGCTGGAATCGAACCGCCTCTTCACGTCTGAGCCATGGTCACTCCAAATTATCTAAACACTAGCCACTAATACAGTAGAGAGAACATACGCTTCCAAATTGTTAAAACTATGCAGCAGAAGTCCCACCAAATAAGCATTTTTACTAGCGAATTAGGCTAGAAAATGGTCGTTGCGTAATATAACACTACACTCGCTAGCTCATCTCCTGCATAACTATCGGAGAGTCAATTCACAAGTTTTGGAATTTCAACTGCCAAAAACTTAAACGTTTATAGGAAGAGCAGTGTCCACTCAGATTGATCAATTGAAATAAAACTGTAAACTCAAATACGATACCTCGTAACTTCTGAAACCTTTTCAACTGGCAGCTTTTAGTAAATTTTTTTAATTTATCTTTTGAGTTATATTTCATTGAAATTTTGTTTCATTTAGTCACAGTTCAAATGTTTTACTGCTTATTCCTCAAAACTCTTTCAGTATGGCAATCAGATTTTCATTTTTTAGGATTAAAAAAACTGTTCAGACCAAGCAAGTAATTTTTATTAAATGATCATTAACTTATTTCGATTTCTAATAATATTACAGAAAAATCTGTGGGAACTCAAGCACAAGCAAAAAACAATTTATCACTAAAAAGCCTACAACTGTTGATTTGAGCAGGCCTGTCCCAAACAAAAAATATCTGGCACCAAACTGAACCAGTCCCAAACTTACCGCTGATCCCAACTTCTGAAAGTCGTGCATTAACTACAACACCACTGACTGAGCCTGTTTCGTTTATGTTAATGCGCAAATACTGACCTTTTTCAACTTGTTTTTCTTTGGGCTTCAGCACACTTACGGTACATATTTGCTGGCATTTCTTGTTATACGCATGTTTCAATTGAAGCTTAAAAGATCGTCCTTTAGTTCTTTACTTTTTGAAAACAAAATTCAGTCAAATTCAATTAATCTTCTAACCTTAGTTTCCAAACGTGTTTCAATTTGGGATCAAATTAATATACATTGATGATTGGATATTGAATTTAAAAAATGAACTCTATCGACCTATTGGAGTGACGCGTTCGACTGGAATTGTCTAAAGATACTACTGGCATATGCGTCTGACATTAACATGACAATTCAAGTTAAATAATTAGCACAACTCATAAAGCATATACGGAGGTTAAGAGCGTCAAATTTTGGGTTTATCTAACTTCCGAAACTACATAAAAACGGAAAAATGTAACTCTTCAAAATTTGAAGATAAAATTTAATAAGAAAACAATGAACATGTTCACAAGGTTGAAATACTCAAGAAACACTTAAATCTGAGATATATCTCACAAAAGCAGGTCAAAATTGCAAAAATACAGCATAGTAAAAGCCAGCAATGTTTTTCCTAAAATCATTCAACCTGCTCGATATTTTTTATTTCAGCCCCACAAAAACCCTCAAATAAGCTCAGACTAAATTAGGCCAATGACGCTCTTACACTCAAATCTGACCCTAATAAATGTCCGGACAGTGTTTGAAATCCCTTTCCCAGTAACTATTGTTGAATACAAATCGTTGCGAAGGCTCTGAGTCAATTGATGAGGTAGAATTCAAAAATTTGTCGTCTCTTGTCCCCGTCAATAAAGAGTCCAAGCCAAAGTGCTGATCTTCGAACCACAACGGCTTCCAAACTTGCTTCGACTTTTCTCTTGTCGACCTTGCAGCCCGTTGCTTTTGCTCCAATCTATGTTTTTCTTCTGAAGCTTTACTTAACTCTCCGTTTTCTAAATGCCTGACATCGGGTCGAAATCTCGAATCTGTAGGCGGCAATGAACTAATTTGGTCCTCGGAGAGGCTTTTCAAGTCGTTCAAAGCGAACGCTAACTGTGTGTAGCTGTAATATTTTGAGGTGTCGTCTTTTTTCAAACGTTCCCAAACCATAATACAATCGTCATCGGCCATTAAACTTTGATGTAGTGATTCGTTCCGTTTTTTGTCTTCCATAACCTTCATCATTTTGTGAACAGGAATTGAAAATATGCTTTCGGTCCATTTACCAAACAGAAAAAACTGTTTAATTCCATTCGAGTCTTTGACAAAAGCTTCAACTTGATGCATGCCGCCTTTGAAAAAACCAGCATGTTTAAACTCAATGTCGACACTGCAGCCATTTGTATGATTTTTCACAGTTACGTTTCCATTTTGCTCGACCCACAACTGGCCAGCTATGATATTGTGAACTATGTACTTCGCATGTGTCCAAGAAAACACTTCTTCGTTCCCTGTTTCAGCTACTTTTAGTCTGAAAACCGAGTTACCTGCCACTCGTACTTGGATCGACTGACCAAGTCCTCCGAAGCTAATCATAGGCGCTGAATTGCAATTGAACTCACAGAAAGATGACTGGAAATTGAAAGCAGCTATTGGCGGATGATGACTCACTTGCTCAGCTACAAATCGGTACCCCAAATCTTTATCTTCGAACTCAAAAGTTTCGCCCAAAAGTGGGTTGAATGGTTTGTTTAACCTATCCACTAATGAATGGAGGTTAATAATCACAAATGTTGAAGTGAGAACCATTCTTGACATTTCACTAGGAGCGTTTGAAGCCTTGGCAAGAAGAAAAGCACTTTCTAAGAACTCGGCTGATCTTTGAAGCATTGAGAGGGGCTCATTAAACAAAACCGGCATAGAGACCCTTGTCAAATCTTTACCCAATAGCTCTTTAAGCGTCTCCCATAACGACAGCAAACGACCTTTCGGCATTTCAACAGGCAGACGTTGTCTTGTGTCGGCTACTAGGAGTCGTTGGTAATTTAGCACTGTTTCTGAATTGTACCAAATTGTAGACTCGTCTAAGTGTTCTGTGAATAAAGAGAAAAGTTTCGAAGGATGGCTGAATGCGGCTCCTATTGGTGCGTTGAGAGATGGGATACAATTAGGTGCTGGAGATGAAGTTCGCTGTACATTTCGATCTGTTCCGTTTTCACTGCACTGACTGTCTCCGTTTAGTTCTGTTATATCTGGTGATAACCTAATCAAACATGGCATAGCACACATACAAAAAGCTAAGTGTAAAAGAGCTATCCTAAAAATCATCAAGACCTATATAAGTGAAAATCACTTCGTTCTTTTCCACTTGAACCACCTCATTTGAGAAGCAACAAATTATCACACAATTACATTTTGGAGAACACTTGAAATATTCTATTAGCAAAAAATCGCTTTCAACGCCAAAAATTACAATCGAATAAAGTCTGTTAGGAACGTTATGTCCCTTAATTGAAAAGCGCAAACAGCACCGCATTTGAAAACCCTAAAGAACAGTAAAAAAAATGTTAAATTTAAAATGCACCAAATATGAACCATTTTTAAAGCTGTATGCACCATTATTACAAACCAAGAATATTCTGTAGCTATACCTCACTTTTTAAAAATCACCATCACCAGAAAGGATTTTTTATCCGGACCACATACGCACCGTAAAAATGAAATAATTTAAGAATGAAATAACCATCAAAATAACTTAAAATTATCATATAAAGTCTTTTCGACTGACTATTGTCAAGGAAGCCGCCCTGTTTTTCGATTACCTCTAAGCCCCACTCGCTAAGGAAACCTAGGCAACAAAAAGTTGGAAAAGAGTCAATTAACGCAAGTAAACAAAAAAATACTGACTAAATTGAAAAATCTTAACTTTTAAATTCCAAAAACGAAAAAAGACGTCCTCAAAGCTCTTTGAATCTCTAAAAAAATTTGTGGTTGACACTTTTTTGATAAAATTAACCGTATTTGAAAAAAAACTGGATCAAAAGGTAGTTTTTTTTTGAATTCTGCTGGGAAATCTGATAATTAATTTCCTTTTTCGAAATTAGAAACCAATCAAATTTTTCTGACCTTTACACTTGCACTGGTCGACAGTGGAGCTTGCCTTCCTGGAGCCTGAACTAATTTTACCTTTTCCTGGAAAAAAAAACGAAAAAAAACTATCGCGACTCTAAAATCCTGAACCTGTCCTTGCATTTCGCTGCGCTATTCAAATGAAAATATATAAAGAGCAACTAACCTAGCTTGGTCGTCAAAATGGAACTCAGACGCCGCACTAACCACGCTTCCATTACTATTAATGGAAATGGCGTCAAAGAACAAATCATCATCTTCCTCATCCTGTGTCTTCGCTTCACCATTCACACCTGGTAGCTCCTCGAACGACGCGGAACGACTCGGTGACCTCTCAATGTCCACTGTGGTTGTCGTCATTCCAGATGATACCGTGGTGGTCGCGAGAGTCGAGTTGTTCCGGCGGGTGACCGCCTTTTCGATTCGGTTAATGACTCGGGAATCCACACTTCGGAATGATTCGTTCAAGGTCACTTCTAGGTTGTGTTGCTGTTTTGCCAAAATGCGTAGAGCGTTTTCGAGGATCTCGTTCTTACGATTAGCCTCATTTAGTTGTTCTGAAACAGAGGTAACTGATTTTAAATTAGTCGGGTGTACATTACTAAAAACGACCAGACCAGCAAATGGAAAACAAAATTTCCATTAATCCGCTATAAAAAGAGAAAAACGACCAGAAACCAAAAACTTCTAGTAATTTAAAACCAATTCATCAGTTCACTGAACGCACTCTTATATATTGATATTGATTGAAAACTTGACAATAACTTCAAAACTGTCGAAATGATAATAAAAATAACTAAAAAATATATGTAAAGACGCGCAAGCTAGAGAGATACTATGCAGTACTTAATTGTCAGGAAAAACAGACCCCACACCTTCACTACCCCTCAGAAAATCAACCCCTACAAAATTTGTGGGGTCAGAAGAGATCCAGCCGGAATTTTAATTTATATTAATTTACATATTTTAATTTATCTAATATGCATAATTTATGCTCAAAATTGAGAAAAAAATGCAATTTGCAAAAACTCGAAAAAAACTACCAGATGTCCAAAAATTTTGGTCTCTATTTTGACATAATCCTTTGACAATTTTAAACAACCGGAATGAAAAACGCAGTTTTCAAAAATTGTCCAACCAAACGCGAGGGTGGCCATTTAAGATTTTCGGAGAGATTAATTCAGTTATTCAAAAAGCGAATTCACCTGTTCAAGTTTTAATTGTCACTTAACTTTTGCATTCAAGTATAACGAATTTTTAGCTACTGACTGGACGCTGGATCAACTGATTGCAAATATTTACTTTTAATAAAAAAGTTTAATACGATAATCTTACAAAATAAATAATTTTGAAATTTTTTGAACATGATTATTTTCGACTTACACGTCAGTCATATTATGGAATCAAATTTTTCGGTTCTTTTTGAAAAATACATAACTTTCATAATAATGAAAGTCAGAATCAAGTAAACAGCTTGGTTGCAATGGTTTTCCAAAGAGATATCTCACATACAAGAAGATAGTCAAGAATATTATCAGAGCTAAAACACAGCGAAGCAAGTATAAGTGAGTTTATAAACTCATCGATTACAAAAGACACATTTTACCATGTGTTTTGCTTAATGCAAAATCAAGTCACGTATTAATAATGAGTAGATTGGAGTCTATTGCATACATTACATATACCACTGTTGGTTATTGATAGAACACTTCTTAATCGAACAGTTTGACTCTTGCGGATAGATCACATAAATATTTTCGTAAACGATGTCAAGAAAGGTTTTATTGCTATGGTTTTTGAATACTCAACATTTGAATCCTTTCTTACTACAGTCAATTTGAAACTAAGAACTTTCAATTGTGACCAGCACATTAAATCCAAACCAAATAAGTAAAAATAGGTCTTCTCCATTGAGGCGAAGCTGAACAAGCAAGAAAGGTGCTAGTAGAAGAAACAATTTTTAAACACAGAGGCGGAGCTTCTCTTCGCAAACACTAGCAAGAACACGACGAAAAGTAGCTATAGAGTTCTAAAAGTGCAACAAGAAAGTGCAATAAGAAAAAGTAAAAACAAGCCTCGAATAAAAAAAAAGACCGCGATGTCTCGGATTCGAACCTACGACTTAGAAAATATGAATCTCACGCACTAACTACGGACGCTTGGTCCATAGCAAACATTGACCACAGATAAAGCAGAGAACAGATGCTATGAAATTTCCAATGCTACAGATCGTGATTATAGCAAAAATGCACACAAGTTAACACTTTTAACGGACACTTTTATTTGCGAGTTAGGTTAGAAAAAAAGGTTCGTACTAAAACACTAGCTACTCGCTAGCATAAAAATGGTAAGGAAAAGAACTTTGACAAACAAAAACATTAGCCGATTACGAGTCTTACGTCTCCATCAGTCCTTGATATCTCACCTAACTAACTGCACACTCTAAACATAGCCAACTGACAGGTGGAAAAGATTATTAACGCAAGGAAAAAAACTGACTTATTTTTTCAAAAATCTTCAGCTTTTGAATTTGTAAGAAACAATACATAGCCTTAAAACTCTTTGAAATTGCTGAACAGTTTTTCAAGTACACTTTTTTGTTAAAAATAACCCAATTTGAGAAAACTGGATCAATAGGCAAAACTTTTATTTCGCTGAAAAATCTGATAATTAATTTCCAATTTCGAAATTAGAAGTCTATCACGTTTTTCGTGACCTTTACACTTTTTCTGTTCAATAGTGGAGTTTGCCTTCCTTTCAACAATGGAAAAGCACTGAACTTCAAAAGATATCACATTTCAAACCACGAAAAATCTAAATTGAGCGTGAACAAATTTCAAAACTTTTTCCTGGAAAAAAAACAAAGGAAAAAACCAGCAAGACCTATATAAGAGTACCACTACGTTCATAACTCTTAACAGCAATGAATGTGTTCAATATAGTAGCTATAGCACTGGTTAAACATAAATTGGACAAAAAAAACTAAACAATGTATGCGACTTCAATTTGAAACTGTGCACTCGTATTAGGACACGTATTTGCTTGTGTAACTAGAGATGTATATCGCAAACAATTCAATCTGAAAAGCAACATTTGTATGACATGCGAAATATTCACTTTAATTTATTTGGGATTGTCCGAATTGCACAGTTATTGTAAAAATCTGAACGGTTTTCAATTTCACTTCACCTGTCTCACAGCTTGAATCTTCGAAAAGGCTGGAAGCTTGAAAAATTTTTGCGGGAAAAATCTTTTCAACACAGAGGCGAAGCGGAGCTTTGTACCACTTACGATATAACACCATTAAAAAATACATAATCCGAAAAAAAAATTAAAAAAAAAACTAGGTCAAATAAACTTTCATTTGTCTCGATAGACGTTCATTCCAGGCAAACATGCCAGACACTTGAATTTTGAAACAGCAACAACGGAGCAAAAATTACGAAAAGAAACAAAGCCGACAATTTTTGAGCAGATAAAAACTGAGCCGAAAAAAATATGATTTTATAAAAAAAAATCCCACCTTAAGCAAAAATGGACAACAATTGCACTTGCAATTACAATGAAAGTTGTTTAGAGCACAAGAAAAATTAGTGATGCGGCAACTAAGTCAACACATTTTCAGCAGTCACTAACTGAACCGAAAAAAGATTTATTTATTTTTAAAAAATCTTTCAAGTCCCCCCCGCCCCTGAAATTAGAACGAACAACTTTTGCAGCTACAATGAAAATTGTCTACAGCACAAGCAAGATCTGTTGTGACAATTTGGCCAAAAAACTTGAGCAAACAAACTTGAGAATTCATTTTTTGGATTTTTTTGTCAATTTCCTTGATCTGTAAAAAAATAAGTTCCGGCCACGACTCGAACCCCAGAAATTAGGGTACAAAGGCAAGTGATTTACCTCCAGGCCAAGGGGAAGCAACCTGGAATGTTAATAAAAGAGTATAACTGAAAAAAGTCAGCTGCATAGAAAAGAAGTCAGCTGTTTTTTCCTCCTCGTCGTCAGCAAATGATTCAACTGATATTGTTGAACTAGTTGTTAACCACAACAAAAAGTCTATATTCCAGTTTCATAACGCTTGCTAATCGCAAGCGTAAACAGTTAAAATGACACTTTTTTTACAAGAGTTTGTGCAAGAGGATTACCTCTAGAATGACATAATTAATAACAGTATATAATAATAATAATATTGATGATTGGTGCTTTTTTTAATAAAATTAATCCATTTTGAGCAAACCGGATCAATAGGTGAAGTATTTATTTCGCTGGGAAACCTGATAACTAACTTTCATATTCGAAATTAGAAGTCGATCACGTTATTCGAGAGCTTTTTATTTTTGTTGTTCGAAAGTGAAGTTTGCCTTTCTTTTAAGAAAGGAGATGAAGTGAACTTGAAAACAAACCGCGACAAATCAAAATTGAGCTTGAATAATTTTTAAGACGTTTTTTTGAAAAAATTAACACAAAAAAAACACCAAGACCTATATAAGAGTACTCACTACGTTCAATACTCTAAATAGCGCTCTTCAATAAAAAAATGCAAACGGTTCGAAAAAGAGTGATTAACGTTTAGTTTCACAAATAAATTATCCTTTTTAGTGAAATTAATATCCTAGATATAAAAAAACTTATATATTGATCCAGTTTTCTCGAATTAGATTAATGTTATTAAAAAAATCCATCGAACGATTCTTGAATTTCAAATAGCTTATTTTGAAAAACATAGCCAACAAAGGGTTGAAAAAAGTCATTCACGCAAGCAAGGCGAAAAAAAACAGCATTGATATTTGAAAAAACCTCAACTTTCGAATTTAAAATTGAAAAATAAATGGCCTAGTAGACTTTTGAATTTCTAGAACAAATTATTTTTGAATTTATTGATAAAGTTTTCCCAATTTGAAAAAACTGAATCAAAATCTGAAATTTTTATTCCGCTGGGAATCTGAAAATTAAATTCTACATTTGAAACGAAGTCGATCACGTTTTTATGACGTTTACTTTTGCTGTTTAATAATGTAGTTTGCATTCCTTTAAAAAAATGATGTCGACTTAAGAAATCAAAAACCAAATTCGAGAGTGAACAAATTTTAACACATTTTCCTGAAAAAATAAACAAACAAAAATCACCAACACCTATGTAAGAGTATTCATTACGTTCATGACTCTTACATTGCATTGTGGTTAAGAAAAAACTAAAAGCTTGCCAGCACCAACAAATTCAAATCCTTTCGAAAATTCAGTTTATGCCATCTCTTTCAGCATAATGACATAAACTATACTTTTTGCTAACTTATGTCAGCAACCGTTCAAAAGCCGACCTTCGCACTACTTAGTTGAAAACTAGATCTTAGTTGAAAAAACTAGATCCACCTTGTTGAAAAAACTAAAATAATAAAAATAATGAATTCAGAGTTTAAACAAAGCATAAACTCAAGAGGGTAAGCCCCGAAAGATAATTACAAATGTATCTGTTTACAGATGCATCGCTCGCAGACGCACATGAGGCGCCAAGAGCATGCATCAAGTTTGTTGTAGTTGTTCAGGAAGTGCGACC